TGGATACTCTAAGACCTTTTTAAACAAGGATATGGGGGTTTTTCCCATCTACAGGCTTACAGCTACAACTCTGACACAGCCTTTGAGGAGTCCTTCTCTGTTTTTATAGAAAAGACAAGCCTCTGGGAGCACAAGGAGAGCAAACTTTTCCCATCTTGTGAAGAGGCTTTGTCAGCGCACGCATCCCAGGCGTCCCTCCCAAGTGCCCATTCCCTACCTGTCACAGTCCTAGATAAAATTCTCCTGTTAAGCAAATTCTAGCCTCTCCCCTGGGATTTACTTATCTTCAAAAAGTGTCATGTGTTTAACAATGTTTACTGCCTGATTTCTTCATACAGCCATGCTGATGTCCCAGCAACCATAACTGTGTTCTGCTAAACTGAATTTACCTGATGAAAGCCAGCCAGTTGTAGCCCAGCCATCCCACTCTGCTTGGCATGTGTCAGCACAGGGATTCAAATTCACCGGCCTGAGCTGGAGCTGGAGGTGGGAGGAAAGCAAGCTTCACTTTTCAGAGGGAGCTTGAGTCCACACCCATCAAACCCTTCCCTCTCAAGTCAGCAATAAACTGCCAGCTCTGGGCTGCTGAGTGTAAGTTCCCCTGTGGAGTTTAACAGGAGACAGCTGCGCACCTTTCCTTGGTGATGTGACTCCTCCCGGCCACACCAATCTCCCTCCCCTCCTCCAGCCTTTCGAGATCTGGATGCCAGTAAAACAAAATGAAGTTACATACAGGGTTATATACAGGAGCTATTGATATGATTGGGACTGATAGAAAAGTGTGCCATTGGCATGCGATTACTCCTGCTAAGGGTTGCCCAAAGGCAAAGCATGTATGCTGCACAGGTAGCAAGCCAAGATGCAGGGGTGGACCATGGCTGGAATGACTTGCAGGAACATCTGGGGACCTTGTGGCTGCAGGTTGTGCCTGGGGCTTTGCCAAGGGTTCCAAGCAGGCCATCCAGCTGTGCTGATGAGGCCAAGAGTATGGCCAGCAGGTGAGTGGGCTACAGCGCAGCCCAGCAGATAGCTGCTGTAGCGGTGGAGCTGTCTTCTGCACCCCACGGCTGCGTGCTGTCTGTGCTGGACAGTATAGCCCCTGTGCATTCAGACCTGTGACTTTCCCACGGGAACAGCCGCAGAGGCATGCTGTGAGAGAATAAACTCATTTCTCTAATGTCTTCCAAGCTGCTGCCCGTCCTTATGTCTATGTAGTATTTCCCATCAGGGTACTAAAGGAGCAGATCCTGGATTCAGTGGGACCCAACTCTTGTCACGTGTGCATGGGCCAGGATCATCTCTCATAACCTGGGCTCCTGTCTCGAGTCATTGCTCCCAAGACTGAAAAATGGGGTCAGAAATTTGGGAAAGCTCAGGGAACATCTGAAAGAGCCCTGATTTCTAGGAAGCACTACTCATCTCCTGACTGACCAAGTTGTGTTTCATCTTCCAGCACTCTCTCCAAGTGTTGCCATGCCACAGTGGCCCTCCTGTACCCCTTCACCTGGCAGCACACCTACATCCCCGTGCTGCCGCCTTCTATGATCGACATCGTGTGCTCGCCCACCCCCTTCCTCATCGGCCTGCTCTCCAGCTCCCTGCCCCGCCTGAAGGAGCTGCCAGTGGAGGAGGTGAGCCATGCACCCGCACCGCGGCCTTGCTTTCGGTTGCTTCCAGCGGGCTGCATTGTCTTCTGTCCTAGAAAGGCTGTGCTTGAGAGTCTGCCTTGGCAGCCGGTGGTGTCAAGGAGCCAAGGTTTCGTCCTCTGGCTCCTGCCAGCGTGGGGTGAGGGAGGAAGCAAACATCGCCTGGGAAGGCAGAGGTCTGTGCTCTGCCTTGTCCACAGCTTGGGAAGAAGGGGCTGGGATCTCCCACCATGGGGGAGGTAATTTTATTGAAGTTTCTGTTGGTTTCTGCATAGCGCTGTCTAGGGGCTAAGCGCAAAGTCTGCCAGGCTTGAAGTGCGATTGCTACAAGTTGGCCAGGATACCTGCTCATCTAATTACCACAGGTGCCTAATGAAAGGAATAAATAATTAAGAACTGGATTCATGGTGCACAAGGGTGAACACAGCAAGGCTGAACATGGTTGGGGAGATATTTCCCTCCCTGCCCACCCAGGGGACAGCAGTGCAGCACATGGGGAGAAAAGACAGAGCTCTGACCCAAACATGGTGGTGAGGAGCAGTAGGCTGGGCTTGGAGCACAGCCTCCTGCTGTCCAAGCTGTTCTGTGGTTTGCGGCGATGTCATTAGAAAACCACAACAAGAACTCTGCTCTTGGCTTACGCTTGAGTGCCTGCTCCAGCTGTGCTGGTGAGTAGGAGGAGCAGGGGCAGGGACAAAGTGTTTCCTCCAGAGCAGTTACAGATTAAGATAAACTCTGATGATGGAACTAATGACATCCCCTTTTATTCTTGCTTTCTTATTCTTAGGTCCTCGTCGTTGACCTTGTAAATAACCGGTTTCTGAGACAGGTGAGCAGAGCTATTTCATATCTTTCATCTTCTATCCCCTTCTTCCACTATACCTTACCTCCATCTATGTTTGCTGACCTGCCTGGCTGGCTGGATTGCTTACTCCTCACACAAACTGAGGCAGGATTTGTGTTGGCAGCATTATAGGAGTTGCTGTGTACATATGTAAAATCAGCATCCCAAACCACAGCTGTTGAGGACCGAATCATTGTGCAGTATCTCCCTCTCTCTCTCTCTGTTTTTTTTAAGGAGGGGAAACAGTGGCATTTGAGCACTGTGGGTCCTTAAGTGCCCACAGGCACAGTGTAAAGCTGAGGGCAGAGCTGGAATGCCTTAGCTCAGCACTCTCTGCTGGGGAGCATCATGGGCTCTTCCAGCCTGTGTCTGTCAGTCCATCTCCTATCGCATACCCGTCCCTGAGTGGGGAAGCGGGCCTTGATGATTTCTTCAAATCCCTTCCTGCCCAAGGAGCTTGTGATTCCTCACTCCTTGCACTGGATGGGTCACAAGTAAGGGAGCTGGTACATGGGAGCCTGTATGTTGCTCTGCAGACAAGACTGCCTGCTGATTTTTACTTCCCTTTGTTGTGGAGAGGAGCAGGATATTGAAGGGGAGAGGATAGATGAGCGAACCTGCTCCTGGCCCGGGAAACTAGTTTTGCCCCCAAGCTCTTCAGCAGATCGCTGAGCAGTGCTGGCTGCATTGGCCTCTGCTGTGCCTCAGGTCCCATGGGTAGGACACGAGTAGGATGACGAGCACACCTCCTGCTGCAGGGAGTAGCGTGTGGATGAAGGCCACTCCTTCGGTGCAGTTCTCACTTGCTAGCTGCCTTAGCTACACGGAAATGCTTTACCTTGCACCTCTCTTTTGGAGGTTGAAGCTAAATCATGCTGTCTTAGGGCTGGTAGGAGCTCACACACAGTCACTGGTAGTTCCTTGGCTCCGTTGCTCTATGGGAACTCTACGCCTCCGTAACATGATCGGTGACAGAGCAGAGCCGAGCAGGGGGCTATGCTCGCCTGGCTGCACGCCAGCATTGTTCAGCTACGTCCTCTTTGTGGTGGTGTGAGCGCTCACAGGCGGATGCTGTGGCCACGGGTGAGCACTGCCCGGTAGCCTCTCTGGTTAAACACTTGAAATTCTTACAGAACAGGAGAATATTTGGGACGAGATACCCCCTTTCTCTTTCTTGTCATGCCTGATGTCTTGTCAGACTTGATAGTTCTACATTGGGAGGTGCTGGGAACATGCCAAGTGTATTACAAGTTCTCCCTCTTCTCCTCACAGTTCATTTTTAGTGCTCCCCCTGCTGTGCTGGGGATGGGATAGGAGCTGGTGAGGAGAAGGGCAGGGTCTGGCCATGTCCCCACCCTGAGGAGGTGGCTCTGTTTTGCAGATGGAAGATGAGGACTCCATCCTGCCCCGCAAGCTGCAGGCTGCCCTAGAGCACATTTTGGAGCAGAGGAATGAGCTGGCGAGCGACAAGGAGGAGGGCCTTGTCAATGGCAAGCAGGGTAAAGCACAGTGCCTTTCAGCTTAAAACCACATCTCTTCCTACGCCTTTTTCTTCTGTCGCTTCTTAGGGGAGAGTTAGGCTTGTATTGAATTTAACACCACAGAAATTGGAGGTAGATGAGGATTTTGGTTGAAGCTGTGTTAAATATTCCATTGCAGCGGGGACAATTATCTTTGTGTGAAGAGAAAAAGTATTTACCCCTTCCTGGCTCTGTCTGTCCTTCCATTATGTAGGGAACACCTGTATTCCTCTTCTGACCATGTGAATGATGCAGGCTCTTCCGGGGGACAGCCCACCTGCAGAGTTGTGGTCTCAGAGGCAGCCATGCGGCTCACAGGCAACTGGGCTGAGACAGCTCTTTGCAGGGCACTATGGGTATCTCCTGGTTGCAGGGGAACCAAGACAAAGCTTGGTGGCTTTCAAAGTAGCAATCCGGTCCTCTTCCATGGCAGCACTTCCTAGGATGCTGTCTCTCTTGATCAGCTTTTTCTGCTCAGGCTAGATCCTGAAAAAGCCAGGGAGTTCGTGCCCAGGGCTTTTCCTACCACATCCTTATAGCACTGTCCTCACCGCTGTCTCTTTCTTTTCTCCTTAGAGACTAGCCCTTTGAATGAGGTGGTGTCCGAGGCCTTTGTCCGTTTCTTTGTGGAGATCGTGGGCCACTATTCCCTCTTCCTGACCCCCACCGAGCGAGAGGAGCGGACCCTGCAGCGTGAGGCTTTCCGCAAGTCTGTCTCCTCCAAGAGCCTCCGACGCTTCCTGGAGGTCTTCATGGAAACGCAGATGTTTGGGGGCTTCATTCAGGAGCGGGAACTGCGGAAGCAGGGGGTCAGAGGTGAGGGGCTCTGCAGTCATGGAAGCTCCGCTGTTGCTCCCACAAGAGCTGGGAGATGCTCACCAGCTGCCAGCTCCATCCCCAGCACCGTGGCGGGAGGCTGCAGTGTCGGTGCAGGGACACCGGGAGGGGAGGAGGTAGTGCAGGCTGATGGCTTGTTCTGACACCCCTGTGTGGCCTTCAAGAAGTCACTTGGGGATTTTTTGTCTCTGTTTCCTTATCTTCCCAAAGGGGCACATCACCTCACAGGAGCGTGGTGAGACATAGTTTTTGCACAGTGCATGGGAACCAGCCGCTGGAGAGCAGCAGCTTTTTGTGCATGATCTGGTAGTTTCTCGATGAGGTTGGGGTTACAGGCACCCTTCAGCACTGCAGTAAGGGACATAAGCAGTATCCTTCATGTGTGTGCCTCTCTGTTCCATGTTGAATTCCCATCAGGACCATCACAGAAGGGGTACACTGCTGGAACAACATTTATTCTTCCAGTCCCTCATGTCCCCTTCCCATGTCTGGAGGAGGAACCGGCTGGATCGGTTATGGCTGTTTTGGCTAGTGGAAAATATGGATGCTCATGTCCTTCCCAGAGCTGCTCCTGTTATTTCACTCCTGTTATCCCACAGTCCTGAGGGCTCTACTGGCAGCTGAAGTCTAACATCCCTGCTGCTGCTCTGTCCTGGTTTAGCAGTTTCCTCCCAAGCGCTGATGAGCAGTGGACACTTGAATAGGTGGCTGAGTAAAAGAGGTTTTGCAGCATGGTAAATCCTGCGTGATGATTCCCCAGATGATCTCACTTTCTGGACTTAGCTGTGTTCGTAGCATAATGAACGGAGGTTTTGTCTCTCCCTGTGTGAGGTTCAAAAGCTCAGTCAGCCTTGCAGTGGTGAGGGAGGAGGTGGTAGCAGGACTTCTTTGCTGAAAGTCCTACAGACACGATCCAAAGCTCCTGTCCCAGATCTAGGCTCACTTGGTGGAGGAGATGGGATGAGTTGTTCCCTCTCATGTGCAACAGTTTATTGGTAAGCCAGGACAGTATGATTTCAGATGGACGTTCTTACTTTTATTATTAGTGAAGCAAAATAGAAGTTGTTGACTTCTTTCTTTCTGCAGGTCTGTTTGAGGTACGGGCTCAGGAGTACCTGGAAACACTTCCCAGTGGGGAGCAGAGTGGAGTCAATAGGTTCCTGAAAGGCCTGGGTAAGGGATCAGCAAACCGAGGCTTGGGGTTCTTGTTGCTTTCAGGTTTGGCAGCAGAGAAGCTACTGAAGGGTGGCAGGACTCTGCTAGTGGCTGCCTGTGGCATCCTGCAGAGCAGCGCTCTGATCCTTGAGTGATCAGTGCCTGGCCGTGTATGGCCTGCCATGGCATGCGGTTGGCTGTGCCCCCTGGTCTGCCACTTGTCTGGAGGCTGGTGGGGAACCCAAGTTTGGGCAATGAACTACGTCTGTGTCTTCCAAAGGATACGAGTGGGTCTGAGGAAGCAACGGAGCAACAAGTGACTCAGGAGTGGTGGATGCAGCTCCTGATGGGTGGAGTGATATAGCCTCCATGGCCTTCAGGTTTGCCCTTAGTGATCAGCGGTGGGAATTGCTTGGGAGTATCCTAAGGCTGAATCCATTTTCCACTCTTAAGTGGAGCTAGATGAGAGCTCCAGACTGAGGTTAGAAGTCCTTGATAAGTCATTGGACATCATGGATAAGAGAGTTTGATCATCTGTTCAGATCGCATAGCTGGCCTTCTTGTTTTTTCTTGGCTATTTAAGAGCAGCAGTATCTGTGGGGCTGATGTGCTCTGCCTCTTACCCACACATGTTCTGGCCAGGTGAGCTTAGTAATACGTTCACCTTCCAGGACTGCTGGGCAAATGGGCTCTGGAACATGTGCTTGGGGGCTTGCAGGGTCCCAGTCTGCAGCGCTGCCCCCAGGGGGTGGGCAGAGCTATGACCTGCTCTGCAGGCACCTGCTTGAGCTTTGCAGGGCAGGTGGCTGTGGGCAAGGAGCCAGGGCTGGCAGCAGGGCAATTCTCTGCATAGGCTTGCTCAGCCGGTGGTGGTGAGGAATGACACTTGTTTTGCCTGTCATTGTGGTAAGTCCATTTCCTTTCTCCATCTCTCCAGGTAGCAAAATGAAATTCCTCCACAAAAAGTAAGAGCAAAGCACATCCTGATTCCACAGAAGAGAATGGCTTCACCATTTAACAGCAATAAATCAGACTATGATCAACCGTTCCCATTTGGCCTGCTCCCAGGAGCCAACACCCTTGGGCGAGCTGACCACAGCCGGGACGCGCTTGCACAGACATGTGGTGCCACAGGAAGATTTGATGGCTGTGGGGCTGCCGGGACAGGTTTCTGGATCTACAGTACCATGCACTGGACCAAGCACTCTCTGAACTCTGCACTAGCACGTTGCAGGCATCCCAGCGGATTGGATCTCTTAGCTAGTCAATTCTTTGTTTTGTTATATTTTTCTATTTATATTGAGCCTAGAAAAATTATTAACCGATGACTCTTGCCCTGCATCTTCTCTCTGCCTGGTGCTCCAGGAGGCCAAAGTGGGATTCCCATGGCACTGAGCAGGCAAAGCTCAGGCATGGAGGAGGGAAGGAACAGAAATGTATGGAAATAGGTCTCTGCAAAGCAAGGACGCTGAGGGCTGCAGGGATGATGTGGACTGACCAGGAGGAGCTTGCAAGCAAGGAGAGGGGTGAGGAGGAACCACTAAACCTACTGAGGACTTGATGGGCCAGCCAGCTCCTTGCGTGGCTGTGCCAGGGAGTGCTGGCATGAGGAAAGGCCTTTCCTTACACAGTGTAATTAAAAGCGAGTGGTGTAAAAGGCGTGTGGACCCTCGGTGTTTTGGGGAGGGGGACGAGCTGTGTCTGCTCACCGGCCCACCTGGCTCTGAGCATGCAGGATAGCTAGCAGCTGAGCCTTTGGCTTGGCCAAGCCCGCAGCTTCCCCATGAGCCTCGCAGCCTAGGTGGACTCGTTCCTTTGCCTGGCTGCTTGCAGGGGGAGCCCAAACTGGAGCTCACCTGTGGGGTCTCGCCTGGGAGACCTGCTTCCCAAAGGGGGGGACAGGCTCTCCTCTCCAGTCTCGAGTGTTGCTGCCAGGGAGCACGGTAGGAAGCAGGCAAGGGGAGCGTGCCTGCTGCCTCCTTCTGAGCTCCTGGCTGAGGATGACCTGCCATTGCCCCTCTCCTGTTCCCCTCTCCTCTGTCTGTTTTGGTGAGGAGGAAAGGTGAGGTTGTGACAGGGGAGGTGTGTGGAGGTTGAGGAGGGTGAGGGCTCTTTCTAAGTGGTGCAAAAGCTGTTTCCCTTGCGCTGCTTGTGAGGGCAGCGTCATGAGCAGCTGGAGCACCCTTGGTTCTCCTCTGCTCTTCAGAGCAGAAGCCAAAGGGTATCTCTGCCATGGCCCCAGCTCTCGTGGGTACATGCGGGTACCTTTGCTGTGGGCAGCTGTGCTACGCTGGGCTACACAGGGCTGCCCAAGGTTTTGAAAGTGGTGCGGGTGCTGCTGTGGTCGATGGGCTTTCCCAGGCGAGAGGGCCTTGTTGACCAGCAGCCAGGTTCAGAGGAGCTCACCTCCACTCAGTAACGGAGAGGGAACCATAGGCGCAGTGCTGCTCTGTGAATCTTCTGAAGTCTGCGTTTCCAAAGTTCCCCACAGTGGCAGCCTCTTCCTGTGCTGTGTTTAAGGGCGGAGGATACAGGCTGTGATGGGTGGTGGCAGGGGCGGGTGGGTGGAGGGGTGAGTGCTTGGAGAGATGGTGCTTCGCTGGCTCCCAGCATAACGGGGCTTGTTATGTCTGTGACACCTGCCGCTACCTGAGGGCCAGATAAGCTGGGCAAGTGCCTCTAGGTGGCCCTGCTTGAGCAGGGGCTTGGCCCAGATGACCTCCAGAGGTCACTTCCCACCTCAACCCCTCTGTGGTTCTGTGACGAGCACCATAAATGCAGGACAGCAGTAGTGCCACGCCGGGCAGGTGGGCAGCACCCATATCTCTGTGCTCCCCAACTTATTGGCACGGACAGCTGAAGCAGCAGTAGAGGGGGACAGAGAAGTCAGCAGCATTTATCTCCCCCACCTTGGGGTCAGACTCACGCAGAGGTGGCCAGGTGGGAACGTGGGGGGCTGCCCCTCGGGGGTGCTCAGCAAAATTGGCACTACGTAAAGCCTGGTCTGTCACAGGAGGCGGTGGTGGCCTGCCAAAGGAAACTGCGGTGGAGTTCAAGGTGAATCAAATGCCATGTTTTGGTGCTCTTTTTAAAAAGTGTTTTCCTTTTTAATGGTAGCAAAATGGGGTTTTGCAAAGCTGGCCAGGATGCCTGCAAAGCTCTGTGAGGTGCTAAACGAAGCTGACCTTGTGGCTCAGCACAGGCCTCCAGAAGCAGGTGTCCTACGTGGTTCCGTACCGCCAAGCCTGCACCCGGGGGCTCTGCATTCTCCTTCTCATGTGACGTTCCCAACAGCCTGGGACTTTGCCTTCCTCGGCTTGAACTTGCATGTGAGCACGCTGAGATACTGGCAGCTGTTACTGCACCATCCTCCTAACTCAAATTGAAACAGGTGGTGAAATAGCCCCGTTTATCTCATTTTGGGACTCAAAGTGGGCTCTGCCAGCACGGGGCTCTGTGGCCACTCAGTGCTTTTGTTGGTGGCTCTGGGGAAAGCAGGAATCAAGCCTACATAGTGTACAAAATCCAAGGGGGTGTCATGAGAAGCGCAGTGAAAGAAGCATTTACAGCTGTGTCATTAAGGATTTAAAATGAAACTCGGACAGAGAGTGTTGGTCTCCGGCTGCAGGAGAGCCTCTCCAGCTTCATGTCGAGCCGCGTTGCTCCGGGGTGAGCAGGACCCTGCGCCCCTCAGGGCTCCGGATGCTTTGGAGGAACCCACCTGCGAAGAAAAGCCGTAAGGCTGGCTGTGCTGGGTCTGACACGCATCCATGTGCCCTCCCGTGGAGGCTGCCAACCGCAGATGCCCAGAGAAGACTGTGAACAGAGCATGTATACTGGGTACGCCCTATATACTACAGACATATACACACACGCTATACATACCCAGAACATTATACTTGCCTACTGTACATCCCACAAACGAGGGTTTCCCACACCACAGCTGGTGACTGTGTGTTCAGTAGCCTTGGATGAGTTTCTCCTCCGTGACTGTGTGTATGTGGGTGTAAGAGCAATTCGCTCAGGCAAGCAGCCGGTCTGGGGGCAGTATGGATATACCAGGGGCACTGGAGAACCGGGACACGCGCTCTGCGCGATTAGATGTTGAAAGCTGCCATCTCTGCTCCTTGATGGTCCCTGGTTAATTAAGCAGCTTGTGCACACCAGTGTGAGCAGCTCCACGGGGCTGGGAGCCAGTGGTGCCCAGGAGAGTCACGCTTGTTGACTCCCAAGCCCCCAGCTAAACCCTGAGCCCCGTTGCCCTCCTTGGCTTCCCCCCACGGGCTGTCGGTGTCCTGCGAGGGCTCAGGATGCCAGGCAACTCCCAGCTCTTGCAGATACCTACCAGAATGTCCCGCTCACCACACAGCCCTTCGTTTATCACTGACAGTGGCCAGTGCTGGCAGGACAGACGGGGAGCCCTGTGCAGCTGAGTTTAGGGGACAAGGTGCTGCCCTGCACAAGGTAGGTCTGATTTGGGTTTGCAGGGGCATAAGCCGAAGGGCTGTGCTTGCAGTGAGCCACACGTGGGGCTCCCAGGTGCCAGCAGCCGGGGGGCTTGCAGCCTACCTCTCTGCCTGGAGACGGCTTTCAGGTCACAGGTGCCGGCGGGCAGCTTGCAGGTGTAGAGCCCCAGGCAGCCGCCGCAGTCAGAGGGCTTCTGGCAGGGCCGGGACTGGATGCCATGGCAGGAGTGCTACAGGGGGAGGAAGAGAGGTGGCTGCAGTGCCAGCATCCGGCCTTGCCCAGCCCTGCCTGGGACCCCCTCCCAGTCACAGCCGTGCCATCGCTCTGTGCTCATGCTGCTGAGAGCCCCGGCCCCAAGGAGCCTGTGCCTTATGCGTGCTCAAAGAGATGCTTTCTGTGCAGGTTTGGGCTGCCTGAGAGTAGCCAGGTAAAGTCAGGTTTCCTTTTGGGGTGTGCATGCCCCACAGCTGGTTAGTCAGTCATTTTGGGGTGACATGAACTGCTCAGTCCCGGGACCATGTTTGCCAGGGGCTGTTGGCCGGAGCTGGCAGCGGTGCAATGCCCAGCGGTGAGATGAGCTCAAAAGAGTCTCTTCGTGTCCCCCAGACAGGCAGGCTGGAGAGGCTCTTGTTAGAAACCAAAGCTAAGTTGCAGAAGATTAGATGATATACTGGGATGAGAATTTGCTGCTGGATGTTTCGTTTCCATTTAAAAGGATACAATAACGCAGTAAAACCTGCAGTAGCAGGACAAGCTGCTCACCAGACTATAGAGCAGCAGCTTCATGCCAGGAGCCGGAGAAGTCAGACCCTGAGGAAGCAGTTTCGGGGCAGCTCGTTACTGCTTTTGGCAGAAAGCACGCTAAGTGTCTGGCCCCCAGGGCTGAGGGGCCGCTGCCTGTGCAGCACAGGTGGGTGCCCCCAGCCCACCTCGGCGGCATGGCATTTTGGGACACGCACCCAGACCTGCGCTCGCCTCCTGACCTGCTCGCCTCCTGCGTGCACAGCCATCAGCTCTGCTCGAAGCCTCACCAGGTACCAGTTGGGGTTTTAGGGTCGTCACTGCCCACCACCCTTGTCTGCACCACAAGCCGACCGGTGCTGTGAGGCCGTGTTCTGGCCAGCACCTTCACACTCGGCGCATGAGGAATGGCCCAAAAAGTGGCTTTTCTACCCAATGTTTGGAGGGACACAGCATGCTCGGCAGCTGCTCCTGCTGCCCTCAGTCCTATCTGCTTTTTGTGTCCCCACGGTGCCACAGGGACTGCTGGGCAGCGAGGATCTGCGCCGGGGTGCTGGGGCTCAGGTGTGTGTGGGGAAGCTAGAGAGCTGGCTGAGCTGCTCATGCGGATACCACCAACATGAGGGCAAGATGGTAGCAGCCCATGGGTCGCACTGCGGGTGCAGCAACCCTCTGCCTGGAGAGGAGGTGCCACTCCAGTTCTGCTCTCCCGAAACCCCAGCCTTGGCTGCCTGGCATGGCTGTGTAGCCAAACAGCTGCAAGTGTTCGGGTGGTAAAACTGCTGGGAGCTCAGGGCATAGGGCTGTGCTGGGAGGATGCTCTCCATTCCCTGCATCGCGGCATGGCGGGGCGTTTTGGGGCTGTCGTGCCTGGTTCTGGTGCCCCTGCGCTGCACAGCCCTGCCAGAGCTGCTGCTGCTCCCTCTTACCGCAAGCACCGGGGGCCAGTGACATCCCGCCCGCCCTGGAGGAACCCACGGAGCTGCAAAGCGAAGGGAAGGTCCCATTTCTTTGGCCCCATCCTCTTCGTTAGGCACTCATAACACCATTACGCGCAGCCCTTCTATGCCCTGCAGACGGGTCAGCCGAAGGGGCTCGCCAAGTTGCCCAACCCCTGGAGCGGGGGCCTGGCAGCTCCCCTCACTCCCAGTCCCCCTGCAAATCCCCTGTGCAAACCCTCGTGGGTTGTGCTTACCGTGTCCCCGTTGAACTTCCCGTGGCCCTTCAGGTAATGGCTCAGCCCCAGGCTCCTGCTGCGGGAGGGCTGCGGCTGGGGCCTCCGGGACTTGCCGGCGGGGTCCGACTCACCACTGCCTGGCGGGGTCTTGGCCATGGCCTTGCTGGAGGACCCAGAGCCAGGGGGGCTCTCTCCCATCACCTCCCATGTGCTGGCTCGGGGGCGGCTGCCCTCCGA